CGCGGAAATGGAAATGGCAAGTCCATTTGGTGCCTCCCTCTACAAACATTCGCATGCCTCCCCCTCTCCTTTCCCCTTTCCCTCTTCTTATCCCTCTCTCCCTTTCTCTCCCCTCCCCCCTCCTCTTACCCTCGTTACCCTCTTCTTCATCCCCCCTTCTCTTTGTCGCCATCGCCAGTCTTCCTTGCACTATCCCGTCCCCTCTCCCCGTCACCTCGTTCACATACATACATACATACATACACACACACACACACACACACACACACAGGCACGCACTTTCGCTAACCAGCCCACACAGAGCCGAAAGTAGTTTGCACACGCTGGGCCGTCCTCTTGCAGTGGGTGCCGCTGGGTGCGTAGTCAGCGCGTTTGGTGGTCCATGGGGGGGGGGGGGGGGGGGAGAGCATCGCAGCCAACTGCCATGCACGGGATCGTACATGCGCGTGCCCAGCCGCTGTGGTGTGTGAGAATGCGAGTGGCTCATGGTTATGAAAATTGTGTCCGTGTGTGTGTAAGCATGTGTGAATGTGTGTGCCAGCGGCGCTCGTGTGTTCGGACCATGCTCATCTAGTTATTATGACACCGTCGTCGCCCTCAACTCGACGCTCCACTTTACCGTTTCGCACACACTGCACACCGACCTTATTCCCCTTCGCTGCATTGGTTCGCGATGAGCTCTGTGGGCCTGTGGGCCTGTAGGTAACACCACCGCAACCCACATGGAGGCGTGGATTGAATTTCCTCACCCCGGAAATCACTGTGCGCGAGAGCATGGGGCCGGGCCGGGCAGGTGAAGGGGCGAGGGGCGGGCGCGGTGGCTACGCACCACCGTGCGTCGGCAGTGTGCATATTGATGCGTGATACGAGCAGTGCGCGGGGAGGCGGCTAACTACGGGGCTAGCAGGGTGAAGGGTGGGTGCTTGCTCCGTACTTAAAACAAACTGGATTACAGGAAATTGTCGTGCGTGTTTAAGCTGGATATCCTAGGCTACCGTTACATTTTATTATTTTTTTTGCTTGTTCAGAAGAATAATTACCTTTTACTGATAAACTGTGCGTTTCAAGTTGTAAGTTGTGCTCTTGCAGCACCGTGCGTGTGCACTCGTGAGTGTTCTACTGGATAGCTGTGTACATGTCGAAGCTCTTCCACGAATGAGCACTGGTGCCAACAATTTTACAAAGAGTTTCAGGAGCTTCATGACGGAACGAAGCCGTAGGCCTAAGCATCTTGTTCTTTTGTTCATGTTGTTTCGCGAAAGTTGGCGTGTCGGGGAAGAAGAGGGCACGTTATTAGCAGGAGTTATTCATGGGTTGTCTTATTTGTCTCTGAAGTCTTTATATTCACCGCAACCGCCCGTTCTTATTATTTTTATGCACCATTTTCCTTCCTCTCTGCCGCTCCTAAGCGGGCTTGGAAAAGTCAATATATCACGGCCCAGTCGGGCCACCTCGTGCCATCTTGGCTTGGAGGAATGATCGATTAGTAAAATCGAGTTAAACGGGTAAGAATGCTGAGAATGCGGAGTACAGGGTGGGGGAAAGGAGGGGGTGTGATAGATTTTGCCACAAGGGATATGAGGGAGAGCGAGAGACGGTGAAAAGTCAGAGAAAAAGAGAGCGAGAGAAGAAGTAGAGGATGGGGCAGGGATCGCGGATGGAGTTGAGAGGGTGAAGAGCACCTCTCCAACGTGTTGACTTTTTTTTTGTTTCTTTTCTTTTTTCGGTCCTTATGTAAATGTGTGAAAATGACCCATGTTCGGTGCCTTCCCTCTTGTCGCGTGCCCTGTTCTCGCACCTGGAAGTCTCGCACCCTTTCCTCCGCTACTTTGCATTGTGTCGACAGTAATTTTTTGCACCGCGGCTTAAAGAGAGAGTTTTGCCGCTGCACCACTACTACGCCACGGCACGCGAGCACGTGAGGGTCGGGGCGATGCTTGTTTTTGAGCTGTCGGCGCCTAGAGAATATATCGTTCTTGAGAAAAGTTACTCCGACAGGAAATTTCCATGAGGATGGTAGCGTCGGAGCAACTACCGACTACTGGAGGGCTTGCTGCTGGCGTTGGGGCGGAGAGTAGGGGATGCAGATGCTGAGGTGGGAGGGTGTCGCTAGCGGCGCTGTCAGTTTGAAGGGCATCAGTGCGAACCTAACGAGCGTTCCTCCTGCTGCTGGCTTGGAAAGTTTGTTTCGGTCCCGATAATGGTGCGAGCATATGGGCCGTGCAAGAATTACGCCTCGGTAACAAACGGCGACGACATCGTGTTCCATTCTGCGGCGCGCAAAGCATGCGCGTTCGTCGATTGAAACTAAGTAACATTTGCGATAGCTATGAGTTTGAGCTTCTGTGTTCACGGCTCAGACGTATCGCAGTATCGCAGTAACATGGTTCGTTTATTTTTGAAAAGTTAGCTCTTTTACATGAATAACTCACTTCAGTATTTGTACTATCGCGCTGTACAGTATTAACAATTATAGATAGACATCTCAATTTAATTCTAACATCCACCTCGCGCAACGTCGTTAAAAAAAATTATTGTAGACTTCATTAAATGTGAGAAGTGTAACGCTCCACGAATTCCATTCCCGTGTCCCTCACCATTAGTGCCACCCGGCAGTTTTAGTAGGGGTAGTTTCCCAAAATGTGAAACAATCATTGGCCTTCCTCGGAATGATCCATTAATTATTTTCGCTTTGCTGAAGTCACGTCCGCGCTATCGTGGCTGCGGCACGTTCTGCACGAAGTGCTGCCGCCGTGGGGGAAGACGGATGCAAAGGCAGAGTCTCGTGTGCATGTGGAACTCTGAAGGTAGATCTCTGGGCCTCGTGTACTGTTAAGAAAATCTCATTATTGAACTCACAGAAAATTTTACGGCTGCTCATTTACTTGGATTTTTTTTTCTTCATACCTCTCTGCAGTGGTATAGGTAGGGAACCCGCCATGGTGCTTGCACCGAACACCCACCTCCACCACAGACTGTACACTT